CCTCAGGTTCTCCCCCAGCCCAGCCCGGGGAGCAGCTGGGAGTGGGAGTGAGTGGGGTGGGGTGGCCGTGCCAAGTGGTATGCTGGTGGCATCGCCCACCGGGGTGGGCAGCATCCTGGGACTGGTGTACGTGGCAGGCAGGGTGGCACCCACAGCAGCGATGAGACCCGTCTCTCCTCACAGCTGAGTGAACGGGTGCCCGGGCAGGCACCCCGGCTGAGTGCCGGCCAGCCCATGGGGACTCGTCCCCCTTTTTAACGCCGAGGGGTGAGTGGGGCGGGAGCTGGGAGAACAAAGAGCAGCAATCTATGGAAAGACAAAAGGATTTGCCCTGGCTCAGTGAAGCAAGCGAAAGCAGATAAAAGGGGCTCTCTTTGGAAGCAGCAGCAGCTCCGGTTGGTATGTGGGAATCTCGAGCGGCCGGCTCTGGCCCAGCCAGCCTTCATGAATTATTAGGCTGTGTTTCTCCCCAGAGCCCACACTTGCTCGGGGCTTTTTCTTCCCCTCTTTGGAGCGCTGGGCTGGGTTATTGGCTTTTTTGTGTGTCCTTTCTGTCTTAAAAAAGAAGCCAAGTGAGGCTGGGAGCTGGCCCCCAGCTCCCCAGGCTGGGGTGGAGGGAGGAGAGCATCTGCAGGCAATGGAAAAAACCTTTATCCTGGGTACCCAAGTCCCATGGGGTCCTACTGGACCTCCAAGGACCAAGTCCACACCCAGCTCCCAGCATTGTCCTGAGCCCCCAGAACCTCTGCTGGGCCTCAAACTCTCCAGCCTCAGGGGAGATGGCATGAAGGGCTGTAGGGGATGTCAAGAGCCCTTGCCTGCCTGCTCTCCTGTATCAAGATGTTAGCCCACGGGCAGTAATCGGCCTGACTGCTCACACAAAGCGGGGCCAGGCAGCAGGGCTGGCTCCCCCCGCTTTGTCCTGGACTAACAGGATCAGGCACGCTACTTGACTTGGGGCATGGCCCGCTGCGCTGCACAGGGCACGGGGGATGCCGCAGGCAGCCCAGGGAGTGAGTAAAGGGATGTGCTGGGGACTGACACCACTCCTCTACATCCTTTGGAGGCACCCCCAGGAGCCATAGGATGGGTTGGCAATGATGGTGGTGGTACCACATGTGGCTTTTGACATCCCCCATCACCCCAGTCCTGCTCTTTCCCCAGGGGCCGCCCGGACATCCAGTGGAGCAACCTGGATCCTCTGCAGCTGATGGAGGAGCTGGGGCAGTTCACATCCCTGGAAGGCTTCAGGGAGCTGCTGGACAAGGCAGAGGTGGGGCAGGCTTACATGGAGCGGCCCTGCCTAGATCCCCAGGACCCCCAGTGCCCACCTAGTGCCCCCAACAAGCAGAGCCAGCAGGTGGGTTACAGCCCATGAGGACTGGGAGGGGTATGGGGGCTTGCTGCTCTCCTGTTTGGCCCACAATCGCAACACCTCCTCTCCTTCCACAGAGCCCTGACATCCCAGCTGAACTCTCAGGGGGCTGCC